AATTTCTAACTTATCGTAATGCTCTCTGTAAGTATATTTCGGCATCGGCTAGCCAGATGTTAGCTTTGTTTTTTAATTAGATTTTTTCTCATTTGTGTTTGTTGAATGTTAAAGTCGGTTTTCATTGCAAAAGGGAACAAAACAAATATTGAAAGAAAAACAAAAACGAAATAATAAATCAATGTAAACTTTTATGCAAGAAGTTGATATACACATGATATGTATAGAGATATATAGCTATAGCTCTATATATACATAGCTCTATATATGTGTTTCAAATGAAATGAAAGAGAGAAGCCTAGTTATAGTTCCACAGAAACTAATGTATACCTCTTGATTTGCAGTAAACAGGCTATACGTGCGTCTAAGTATCTTTGATATAATATATGATATATGATATATGATACATATATACACACACATGTGTATGTGTGTGTATATGTATTTTAGAGCATTTTTGTTTAGTGCTAGAGAAAAATTAATGTTTAAAGAGATTTTGTACAGCGATCTATACACATATATATACCCCATGTATACCCTATAAATAACACACGCCCAAAACAAAACAAAAATTAAACTGTTGGAAATTGTTTAATAATTACAAATTTCATATGCTACATAGTTTATACATATATGTATGTATATTATTACATTACATTATTAATAAAAATCCAAAGAAATTGCATTTGATTTTGGCATTTTTGTATTATCCTCTTCTTCTTCGACTTTTTCCAGTTTCTCAAGTCGCGTCGTCTTTTAAAGCTGCCCCGTCTCTTCGATCGCTAACGATCGCAACGAACCGCGAAGACTCTCGGATATATCGAACTGCATGCCTAGCCTATGAGAAAAATGCATACATATATATATTTATTATAACTGAAGCATATAATAAACTTGATAACGGGCAATGAAAACGAAGTTAATTAACTTACCCGGTCGCAGCCAAGTCGGAAAAGCTGGCAGCACAGGCATTGGAAATTGTGCTCCAGCTGCTAGAGGATTTGTGGGTTGACCCAAACTTGATATGAACTGAAAATTGGCCAAAAATTTGAATCACATCTTAATCTTTAAAATGAAACTGCCAAATCGAAGTCGAGTCTAGTCTTCCATGCAACGTTCATGTTAATTTTCATAACATTTGTTTGACCACATGTTATATTTGACAGCCAGTCCCGCTACATTTCGTAGATTTTTGCATTCAAACTTTATTTAGCCTTTCAGATGTCAACAAGAGTTACGTTCGTGTCTAATGCTATCGGATATTGAGCACAGCTAACGGTAAGTATATGACAGCTGGCTCAAATTTAACAAGAACACAAAACAGAGCTCTAAGTCATGTCAAACTTTAACAGGCAGTTAACTAAATTGAATTTTGAAACTGAATTAAGCCGTCAGTTATGTTAAAATTTAATAGTAAAGTTAACATTGAGCATTGAAATAGAATTTCTAAATAAAGTTTAAGTTTAAGAGAAAGTAACACAAGTAAACAGGAAGCTAAAAGAAAGAAGCAGGTCTGAGCTCTTTGTAATTTTTATTGTAAGACAATGAAAGTCAATTCTAAATGTTAAATTTTAATCAGCAGTTAACAACCTAAAATCCAAACCCTCAAGAAATTCAACTCTAAGTCAAATAAAAATGCTAACTTTCTGTTAAATCTATTATGCTGAATCTTAACATTCATTGGCAGCCCAACTCACCTGTTGTGGACTGGCGGCCACCACGTAGGTGCCATCGTTGACCGCCTTTTGAATGGTGGCCCGCAGGGCAGCGACTTCCTCCAGCTTTTGCGGCGTCACATTCACCTTGGCCGCCTGCGCAGAGGGGAGCAAATCGGGCCGCATTAGCCATACCGGCTGCACCACCTGGCGTCGCAGCCTAGCAGCAGAAACCAAGGATCGATCGCTGCAGCAGCAGCCGCAGCAGATGCTAAAAATGATAATGATGGCACGCGCGCGCATTTCGGACTATTTGGAGAGTCACTCGAGTGGCAGCATTTAAAATACAAAACTGTTGTGCATTTCGATGAGGAAGTAATATTGTTGCTTGTATTTCAATGTTGGCAGTTGAGCGCACGCTAAAACGTGCCGCATGTATAACAATATGTAAAATAAAATAAAACTGGATAAAACACAAAAAGTGGATAATATAAACAATTTTGGATGTGTGTGTGTGTGTGTGTGTAAATAGGCCAACAAATTATTTTGAATATATGCATGTTGTTTCAATTAATTGTTTGTTTTGTGTACAAATGAACTTAGTTTAAGAACGGAGTGAACATAAAGACAGACAGACAGACACAGAGAGAAAGAGAGRGAGAGAGAGAGCCAGCAAGCAATCATTGTAGTTGCTCTTCTCTTTCAGATTTGTGTAGTCGTCTGTTCGGCAGCTGAATCTAGCGGCTCGTCCTTGATATGCACATCATCATCCTCCTGGTCCTCCTTGCTGTTCTCGTGCAACAGCACATATTCCCGCGAGCTAAAGCCAAACTTGATGACATCCTTCTCCATCAGCTCATAGTATTTGCGTGAATCGATTTTCTTATTGTTGAGAAATGTCCCGTTTGCCGAGTCCAGGTCAATCAGATAGAGGCGCACGCGTTTACCCGTGCTGCCGTCGTCGCGCTCGAAGGGCACCAGGCGATATTGCAGAGCCGCATGCTGTTTACTGCAGCTGGGATGATCGACAGCCAGATCGACGACCTTGCGATCGCGTCCCACCAGAAAACAGCTTTGCCTGTGTATGTGCAGTGTGGGCAGCGCCGTTTCCCCCTTGAATGGATATAGACGCCACAGACGCTTCGGTTTACGTGCCTCGGGTGGCTCTGAGTATTTAACCACAACGCCGTTCACTTTGTTCGTATCTTCAGTCAGGGCACCGCTCAATCCAAAATTGGGTTTCTCCTTCTCGAGGCTTTCGGCTTCATTGGATGCCGACGGCTTGTCCTTGTCACTCGGCTTGCCCCATTCGAAATGCTCGTCGTCACGATTGCGATTATCATTGCGTGGTCGTTGTTGTTGGCGCCGTGGTCCACCTGCGCCGCCTCTGTAGCCACGATCCCGTGGACTACGACTGCGACTGTGACTCCTGCTGCGACTGCAATAGACAGAAGTCAAGCTTGAAGAGTCGACACTATAGCAATAAAACTCATTTACTTACCGACGTCCATCGACGGACGAGCGACGTGGTCGATCTCCCCGTCGCTCATTACTACGCATTCGCTGCTGCGGCTGCTGGCGGCGATCCTTGCTGCGCTCTCGATCTCGTCCCCGCTCTCTATCGCGTTCCCTCTCACGACCGCGTCGCATTTGATTCTCGCGCTCACGATCTCGCTCACGATCTCGTTCTCTATCGCGCTCCCTATCTCGCTCCCTTTCCCTATCTCTGTCCTTTTCGCGCACGCGCTCTCGATCACGCTCACCATCGCGACTGCGACTGCGACTACGTTTACGGCTCTTGTTTATGTTTTTGCTGGAACTATGACGCTCTGGGCTATCCCATTTGGAACGCTGCTCTTGCACTTTATTCTCCAGTATGACGGACTCTCGTTGCGGCTGCTGTTTTTGTTGTTGCGGCTGTTTCTCCTTTGCGTCTTTGCTCAGCTTTGATTTTTTGGCGCGTTTGTTGTCATGGGAGGATTTGGAGGAGTCGCTGCTACTACTACTGCTGCTGCTGCTGCTGCCACTGTTACTACTGCTGCTTTCGCTGCTGTCTGAGGAACTCGAGCTAGAGCTATCGCGCGTTGTTCTCTGCTTACGCGTTTTGCTCTTTTTCCGGCTTGCCGCATCCCCACGCTTCTTAATGGTCTTTGCTTTTGCGGACTTGTTTTTGGTGTCGTCATCGTTGCTGTTAGAGTGCACTTCATTATCGCTGCGCGCGGCACGCTCCTTGCTGCGCGCCTTGCTTACTTTCACCATATCAACTACGAAATTAACCTAATGCGGCTTATAATTCGAAAAAAACAAACACCTTAGAAATTATGTTAGTGATGGCACTCTGCTAATAGGCGGCTTTGCCTTTAACAGCTGTTTTGTAATCGACACTCTTAGCGCTGAGTCGATGATTATTCGAGCCTTTTGTAATCGACTGCTAGCTCATGACAAATTTATATAATTTCGTAGTAAATTAGTATCACTACGACATTATAATTTAGTTATTATTTCCCAATTGCATTAAAAATTAGATATATTTAACATTCAAACAAACGCATTACTATATTTTTAACTTCGTTTATTTTACTGTAATTATCAGCAACTTAAGCGATGTTACCGGCTGGTTCATTATCATCGATAGCTAGCCTCCGATAAGTAGTAAATGAGCTTACACTCATCTCAAACTTATTAATTCTTGCAACTAGAAAACATTGACAGATTGCGACAACATAATTGGATTAACAAAGCAGCCAGAATCCTTGCACGTACTTATTTTACAGTTAGACGCTTGCCTGCTTTGGAAAAATACAGATGCCAAAGAGTACTGTGCATGGTCAAACAATAAAATAACGGTACCCAACGAGTACCAAAAAAATAAAAACGAACAAATAAACCCACACACAGAAGCAAGAAAGGAAGAATCATTTGTTAAGCACAGTTGCCGAAATTGCAAGCTCTTGCCAAAAATTAAACAAGCAAACAATAGTACAAAGTAGGTATTTAATATAATCAATCCACAGCTCATTTTAACTAAGCTATTAATTTTCTTATAAATTCGCCGTAATTAATTAGTAGTTTATTAATACATAAACAAACCAAAAAAGAAAAGAAAATCAGCATCCACACACACATACAGACACACACACATATATATACCTATATATATATACACACGTATACAAACACACACACGCGTACACATTCGCACACACACACACCAACAAAATTTATATAGTTATACAAGAATGAGCAGCCAGGGACATCACAAAATGCATGGTGGAATCGGATGCAATAGTATTGCAGCACTGGCCAATGACAACAACAGTACAGATAGCACCACAATAACGGAGTACACAGATGAAATAGATCTGGGCGACCGTTTCTCAGCAGATATAGCCCGGCTCTGTATGAACGAACGTTATGCCGACGTCGAATTCCTTGTGGAGGAACAACAGTTGCCGGCACATAGAGCCATATTGGCAGCACGAAGCGATTATTTTCGTGCCCTACTCTATGGAGGCATGTCGGAGGCGACACAGCGACAAATCACAATGGAAGTGCCGCTGGAGCCGTTTAAAGTGCTATTGCGTTACATCTACTCCGGCACTCTGTCGTTATCCAGCTTGGATGAGGACGCTATCATCGGTGTGTTAGGCATGGCCAATCAGTACGGTTTTCAGGATCTGGAAATGGCCATATCCAAATATCTGCGTAGATATTTGTCTTTAAACAATGTCTGCATGATTTTGGATGCAGCACGGCTCTATAATCTCGAGGAACTCACACAGGTCTGTCTCATGTTCATGGATCGCAATGCCGTCGATCTGCTGCAGCACGATACCTTCAAAATGCTCTCAAAGGTGAGCGACAAACAGCAACAATTGACACTCATTATCTAATACAAAATTTCCCATAGGAATCGTTGGAGGAAATACTTCGTCGTGATTGCTTCTTTGCGCCGGAGGTGCAAATATTTTTAGCCGTCTGGAAATGGAGTCGCTATAATCCGAATATTGATATCAAAACGGTTGTCTCCTTGGTTCGGCTGCCTCTCATGAATCTGGAGCATTTGCTACAAGTTGTCCGTCCATCTGGAATTTTGGATCCAGATAAAATTCTGGATGCCATCGACGAGCTGAGCACCTCCAAGACTTTGCCCTATCGTGCAGCACTCTGGCCGGAGGAGAATGTGGCTACAGCAAAATTTTCAGCACATTGTATCCACGGCGAATGCCGCTCATCTTTGTTGGATGGCGACGTTACCTCGTATGATATGGAGCACGGTTATACACGCCACTGCATCACGGATAGCACTGATACGGGCATTGTAGTTGAGCTGGGCACCATGTGCATGATCAATCATATACGCATGCTGCTCTGGGATCGCGATAGCCGTGCTTACTCCTACTTTGTAGAGGTGTCCGGCAATCAACAGCACTGGGAACGCGTCATTGATTACAGCGAATACCATTGCCGTTCCTGGCAGTTTCTATACTTTGAGGCACGTCCACTGCGCTACATACGTATTGTGGGCACACAGAATACAGTGAATCGGGTGAGTTGTTCTTGTTGCATTGCTTGGCATTGAAATCTCGTTACAATTGAATTTCAGGTATTCCATGTGGTTGGCTTAGAGGCCATGCACACAACGAATTTTCCCAAAATCGTTGATGGCTTTGTTGCGCCCAAGGCGAATGTGGCCACCATTGATATGAGCGCCATTGTCACCGACGGAGTCAGCCGCACACGCAATGCATTGATTAACGGCGACTTCTCGCGCTACGATTGGGACTCGGGCTATACATGCCATCAGCTGGGCAGCGGCGAGATTGTTGTGCGTCTGGGCCAACCATATTATATCGGTTCGATGCGTTTGCTGTTGTGGGATTGTGATGATCGTACCTATAGTTTCTACATTGAGACATCAACGAATCGCAAGAATTGGCAAATGGTCGTCGATAAGCGGAACGAGAAGGCGCGCTCCTGGCAAAACTTTCATTTCACACCACGACCCATTGTCTTCATACGAATCGTGGGCACGCGCAATACGGCAAATGAGGCGCGTCCAAAGAAAGTTGAGAATACTTATGGTATAGATTAATGAATGTATACTTCACAGATATTCCATTGCGTGCACCTGGAATGCCCCAGTCAGGACAAGAGCTTTTTGAAAAAGATAGCCGAACAGGAAAAGGAACGCGAACGTGCGGAAGCCTTCGAGCAGCAGTTAAAAGCAGACGATGACATTGCGAGTACGTCACGTGCGGCTGCGGCGTTGTCTTTGTCGGTCACCCTAACAGCTGCCAGTCCAAATAGCATGACACACTGGTCACGCATTTCTACAGTCAACACCAATTCCTCCGCTACAAATCTGTCAAGCGGCATGGACTTGCATTGCGAATCTTTTGACAATCTGTCCACATCGGCCACAGGCTCCGCAACGACAACGCCATCAACGCCAACAACCAGCACACTGATGGCTGAGCTATCACATCTCTCCCCTAGATCACTATCTCCACCAAAACAGCAGCGCGAGAAAGAGAGGGAAAAGGAGCTGGGACGGGAGACAGAACGAGAACGTGATAGTGAGAAGGAGCCTGCAGCAGCGCTCGTTCAGCTGGTCTTAGAAGACGTTGAGCAGCCACCAGCATCGCCATCGGCAGCTGAAAACTAAAAACTGGGATATATTTTTTTTTTTTTTTTTTTTTTTTTTTTTTTTTTTGTTTACACAGATATATACATATATCGCAACTCAAAATACTCCTGTGGTCAAAAGCGCTGTTAATTACTTAACTTTGTACAAGCAAGCACTTACCAATTATTTAACACAAGCTATTCTAATTAACTGTAAGCAATAGCTATAATTAATACAAATACTACAAGTATGTACATATACACATATGCTTAAGTATATGTGTATATATCAATTTATATGTGTATATATACGCATACACGTATACACTTGGATATATATATGTATGCGTATATATACACATACATTTATACACTTAAATTATGTGAATATATATACACATAAATATGTGTATATATAGATATCAATCACGATAAAAGACAGCAAACCTCAACAAATGGCATCATCCAAGTTCCCTTCCAATCACAATTGACAATTGCTTGTACAAATGACTATTCCTTATAAACATATTTATTCTAAATAATTTCGTTGATGCGGTTTTGTTGAAATGCTTACGCATTGCGCTTAATCAAAAAACTTAAATACAAAAGAAATGATTGATATCTGGTTTATTCTGTCTGAAATGTACTATTTATTGAAAACAAAAATATTTTGTTACATATGTGTGAAGCACGTAATAAATTTATAACAGGCATGTTTTTCAAATCGTTTCTTTTTTTAATTTTTAATGAATGATATAAATTTTTGTGCAATCGAGAGATTTTTAAAATTCATTTATAACCGGCGATTGCTTATTGCAGCATCGATAGTTCCAGGGCAATGCAATGACACGATAAACGTTGATCAACACTAGTTGCTCGATAGCTTGCACGTAAAGTATCGATAAGTTGCCTTAAGTACTTATTGGTATTTAAGCGCTTATAAATTTGTTCATTTACCATATATTTTTGCGGCCATGAGCGACATGGTGCCATCGCTGCCCTTTCCCATGCATCCCAAAATGCATGAGGATCAGGCGCTAGCATTTACGGCCAAAGAGGACGAGGAGGAACGGCGCCACATACAGAAAGTGCAGAATGCCTTTCAGTACTACAGGTGGGTCTTCATTGTAAACAAACGGTATAAATGCCCAAAGTGCCAATGCAAATTACCCGCTCACACACACATGTACACACACTCAGGGCTTGGGTAGAAGTGTGCATGAATATGCATGTTCAACAGCTGATAACGAAAATCAATTTAAGCGGTTTAACATGTGCCAACCAACGTACTTGTATGAGTGTGTGTGTGTGTGTGTGCTTACATGTGTATGTAGAACATCTGCTCTAATCATTAACTTTATTCCCACACACATCACAAACTAGACGTTATGCCTACATAAGGGTTAACAAAACGGAAGCTTACCTCAACAGCTTGTCCGCTGAGGATCAGCGCCTGCTCAGCAAATATCGTTCGCATTTGGACAACGTGCGGGGCTGCATTGACTGCAATCAATCTGTGATCTGTGAGATCTTGCGCGATCGCGTTCTCTATCCCACAAGCGATGGCGACACGGACATAGAGCTGGATGAGGCGCCCGACCATGTGCGACATGGTGACATGGATCAAGTAAGAGTTGTTCGAATATCTATAGCTTATCTGCTTGCATATCTATTTCTACTTTTCTTCCGCCTATGCACAGTGGTACAAAAATAGATTCAAGCCATCCAATTAGGCAAGCTTTTTAGGTTATTCCCTTAAAGGTCTTTAGGCTATGTATACATACATACATATTACAAGGAGAGGGAATCGATTCAAATTAATTATAGATTTATATTTTTTACAGAAGATTGTAATATATTGTCTTAGTAAGGAGCTCTCAAACAGAAATGACTGTATTGTGATAATCGATAATTATCGATACTCAAAATTTGTAATGAACCTTATTTCCTATTTGATATCAGATCGATCAGATTATCTATAAATGTAAACATTTTCACACGCACATATAGACGGATAGATCCATAGGTAGATCCATCATTGTCCTCAGCTTCGTAAATATTTCGCTAAATTAATTCGAACTAAGAGTTGTCTATTGAAATAGACTAGATCTGATAAGATTATCATACTTGATTAACTATTCTGAATCATAGCAAGACATGCATAATATACATAGATATATAAATATATATGATATGATACCTCCCCCTCTCTAATACGTCCATCAGAGAGCTTCAGAGCCTAACCAATCGCATTGATTGACAATTTGCATATTTTTGGTTTTTATTAAAGAAATAAACGATAAACTGTACACAACAAAATCTATCTATATCTTAGACTAATTTTCTTGTTGATGGTCATGATGATGATGTTGTTGTTGCTGATGATGTTGATGTTGAACCTCTAAAAATTTTAAAGGCCCAATCCACATTGAAGCTGATCGCACGCGACTGGAGCGCCGAATGTGCCATAGAACGTGAGCAATCCTACAAGCCGATCATCGACAGCATCGAGGAGTATTACAAGCCATCTGATTAGTGAGTATTCGCTATGATAATTGTAAATGATACATATGATTTTCATATATATAGGAAATGTTAATTGTTTAAGTCAGCTTGAACTTTCATAGATTCCATACCAGACTCGTTTGGGAAACCCATTTAAAATGGAAATGCATGGTATATTGGTGTTGTGGTAATGCATGTAACAGGCAGATAAAGGCGTGGCAGAAGAAGAAAATGTCTAGATTGACTCGACTTGTTATTCCGAAGTTTCGGAACCATCTTTCACTCTCTGTTACGAACATTTGCACAAAACTGATATACCCTCTACAATAACAGTAATACTAGATAGTCTGATGGTTCTCTAATTTATACATCCCATCAACTCTTTCTCTTCCTTACAGTAAACTAAATGAGATTAAGATCCTGGTGCCTGGCGCTGGCCTGGGCAGGCTCACCTATGAACTGGCCTGCCGTGGCTACGCCTGCGAGGGCAACGAGTTCTCCTACTTCATGTTGATCGCATCCAATTTCGTGCTCAATCTGTGCGACTACGAGAACAAGCACGTGCTCTATCCCTGGGTGCATCAGTACGTGAACAATATGCGACGCGCCGATCAGGTGGCCTCTGTGCGCTTCCCCGACGTCTGCCCGGTCAGGAATCCGCCCAAGGGCAACATCGAGATGGCGGCCGGAGATTTTCTGGAGGTCTATAAATCACCGAATGCATACAATTGTGTGGCAACATGTTTCTTTATCGATTGTGCCAACAATGTTATCGATTTTGTACGCACAATTTACAGGTGAGTTGATGATCCGTTGCTGAAATTTAAAAGGGTTTACCAAACAGTTAATTGATCGATTAAATTGATTTAAAGATCTAACTCAATTTCTAAAAATTCCTCGATTGATTCTTCTGCTCTCCCGTAGAAACTCATGACATGAGACATATACCATAAATAGAGCAAATTTTTCCCCTTTTGTATAACATTCGATAATAATCGATTCTAAGTATAAGCTTATCGCTTGAAAATGTGAAAGCTATTGATACGAGTTTTATTATATCAATTTTGATAAAGTTCGGCTACATAGATCATTGTTTATAACTTTTTTTTTTATTGTAATGGATTTTAAAATAAAAACCCCTATTGACGTTTTTTTCTATTTCTCCCTGCAGGATTCTAGTGCCTGGCGGCATTTGGGTGAATCTGGGACCGCTGCTCTACCACTACAGCGACGTCAATGGCCAGAACAGCATTGAGCCAACGTACGAGGATCTGATCATCATTATGGAGAGCATCGGATTCGACATATTGAGCTCGCGCAGTGGCATACGCACCAAATACGCACAGAATCCGCAGTCGATGAAGCAAAGCGAATATCAAAGCTTGTTCTGGGTCTGTCGTAAGCCGCCCAACGACTACGAGAAAGCACAGCAAACGTCGGAGGCGAAGGAGCGCGACAACAAGGAGCCCCCGGATCTGATTGTCAACCAAAGCAACGACCACGATGTCGATCTAGAGACTGAGGTGCAACCAAAGCAAACGTGATATCACACACACACAGACACATCTGACGAAGCATCAACAGCCACGCCCACCGCGCCTACACATATATATATATATATAGTATATATCGAGAAAACTACACAAAAGTAGCACAAATAATAAAAAAACACAAATGTCAACGAATTTCAAATGCAAGACCAAAAATAACGAAATATAATCTAATGTTTAAAGGAAGCAACAGCTAAGCCTGATCTGTAGAACTGCACTAGATATATAACTATAGCTAGAATCTCTACTTCATGCAGTCTGTGTAAGCTTTACAAATTTCTTCAAAATGTATTCTAAATTAATGAAGATATGGAAGTATTTACAAAAGTTTATATATGTATAAGCTGTTATATATCAGCTGACCTGTTCAATCTACTTAAATACCAACTGTAAATGCTTCTACATCTGACTCCAAAGAGTTCGTTAAAGTTATTAAACATAAAAGTTTTAAATATTCTTTTTTTTTTTAGTTATCTACTTTCCCAGCTTATTGAATGCGTTCATTTACAGCTAGCATCTATAATTATCGCTTAACGTAATTCTAATNATGTGCATAGCTTGCTTTGGTAACCCAAAATATATTTATAGATTTTGGGTAAGCCTCTGATAAGTACACAAAATATTATCAATAACAAATAACAAAATAGTGATCGATAAATATCGATTGATAGTTTATGAGCACAGGATCGTTTCATGCTACTTAGATGCTACTTATAATTCCCTAAGTACTCGATCTCTACACAGCCCACCAGAAATTGTAGCCATACACTTAATATTTCTATGAAGTATATTTATATATAAATCGATAACTATCGATACATGTACTCTATGTGTATATGCGTGTATATACAAATGATACATCTAACATATATGTATGTCTAATAGTCGTGAATTAATGCAGCTCTCTCTCTCTCTCTCTGTCATCTTCTCCTTCTCCGTCTCTGCTCCTGTCTCTGTCTGCTGCCTGCCCGCTCTAATACATGAGCCAATTGCAGTTCAGGTGGATTCGTTGCGCCAATTGGACTCGGGTCGCCACTTGGGCCGCAGCTCGAGATGACGCAGCTTGATCTCCGCATAGATCTGCTCGAAGTGCTGGCCGTCCGTGGCACAGATTTTCGCCGTCTCAGTGCACAGATCGAACCAAAGCGACTCCGAGAAGTCGTTGCTCTGGCACATGGACGTACGCACCGTAGTGAACACACGATCACGGAATTGACGTACTACCTCCGACGCAGCCGCATGGTGGGCAACAGCCGCATTGCCGCTCAGCTCGGGAAAGAGAAAGCTGTTGAGGACACGCGCATCGCCGCGCCCCCGATAGATGGGCAGGCCAGTGCTCTCGAAGAGCAGCGCCAGCTGCTTGTCCAGCTGCACGCGGCGATCCGGCTCAAAATCCTGGCGCTTGGCGCGCGTGCGCACAAATATCACCTGTGGCAGATAGTTGCGCACGTAGCCTTTGAAGGGTGCGCGTGGGCGCATCCGCAGGGCGGCATGCAGCAGACGCAGCTGCTCCAGGCTCAGCTCGTCCAGGGCCAGCAGCAGGACATGGCAAACGCTGAGCAGGTGCATCGTAGTGGCCAGTGTCTGTAGATCCAAGTAGTCGGCCTCCTTGAATGTGGTGCCGGCCAGCATCGGGGCCGTGTCCAGCAGAACGAACCGTTCCCGCGTGATGAAGAACTGCAGATTCTCGGTGCGTGGATTCAGCATCTGCTTGGAGCCATTCGGCGGCTGGTGCTGGTGTTGATGCTGATGGTGGTGCTGATGGTAGTGTTGGTGCTGACGCATCTGCGACTGCGACTGGCTCTGCTGGCTGGAGCCATGTCGGGTTGAAAAGATGCACTCGTCCGCCTCTGGAGCGAAAATATGCTGATAGTAATCGTAGTCGCTGGCACGTTCGCTGGCCAGAAGATTGAGCAGCGTGGACTTGCCGACGCCCTGGGCGCCCAGCACGCCGATGACAGCGAAGTCCGTGTTGGTTTTGTGGAAGAACTTGTGGGCATTGGAATTCAAGACGCCGTTGGAGACGTACAGCGGCGCCGATCGTGTCATTCGGGTTGGCAATGGTGAATCTTGGCTGGAAGTGGGGGTGCCATTTGTTTTCTCTTTGGCCGCCGTTGAGCTGCTACTCAGCGTGGAAATGACATTGGTCGAAGGCGGATTGCAGCCTTGTTGCACTGCATCGCTGCGATTAATGATGATCGTTCGAATGGATGTCGGAAGATCGTTGAAGCTGCCACTGCTGCCGCTGCCCGGATTCGAATCGCCCTCCTTTTTCAACAAGATCTTCGTCAGGACGTTGGGCGTGCGCAAGTCCTCACGACGTGCAATCGTCACGGGCGTTGTTGTTGAAGGACCCTGACGTCCATCTTCCTGTTAAAAAATTAACAAGAAGAAAATATTAATTACAACAACTACTGAAACTCTCGATATACTCACGCGTTTTTTGTTGCGAAAACGTCTGCGGTTCTCTGCCATGCCGCAAGCCCTAAACGTGCAGCACACAGTGGAGCAAAAATGTTGGATGCAGTGCAGCAAAGAGGAATCCAAATAACAATTGGAGCCTTGTCTGTGCTCAGCTGTGCGTTTGTTTTTCTGAAATCCAGTATTGAGCAACACTGGAAATATATTGACAGCAATTGAACGATAGTTGGCGCCATGCACTCAAAATGTTTACACAAATGAAAATGATGAAACAAAAAACAAAAACAAACTAAATTTACTTTTGAATTGACAAAAATAATATAACATTACTTTATATACATACGACTATATTTTTAGGCACGCAGTAAATCCAAATTGATGTTTCGCCACCACAATAAGCCGATTACTATATCGATAATAGTCAAATCGCAATCGATGGTTGTTATCACACCACGTTCAGGCATTGCTTGACATTTGGCCAGAACACTCAGAAATAAATTGAATTTCAGAGAATGCAATAAATACAAATTTCAATAATGCCAATTATTGTAATTTCTGGCCTGCCGTCAAGCGGCAAGTCGGCGAGAGCCCGCGAACTACAAAATTACTTTCTAAGCATTAACAAGAAGGTGCATCTGATTAGTGAGAATGTGGCTGTCCCCAAGGCGCTCTTCGAGAAGAACGAGTTCTTTGCCGATTCGCAAAAGGAGAAGATCGTGCGAAGTGACCTCAAATCGGAAGCGTCCCGGCAACTAAACAAGGAGGACCTTGTCATACTCGATGCTTGCAACTATATTAAGGGTAAGCAGGGAACTTGCATTTGACATTTGGCATTGATCAACTGAATTGAGATATTTTGTGGTATTGTTTTTTTTTTTTTTTTTTTTTTTTTTTTTTTTTTTGGCAGGCTATCGCTATGAGATATTCTGCATGACAAAGGCTGCTAGGACGACACAGTGTACCCTGTTCACGTGCATACCGAAGGAGCAGGCTTGGAGCTTCAATGCACAGCGCACCGATCCGGATGTGCTGACTGATTCAGCCAGCGAGCCACTGGTGAACAACTCGGATATTCCGTACACCCGCGAGATTTTCGATGCGCTCTGCATGCGTTTCGAGGAACCGCATGGCAACAACCGTTGGGACAGTCCCTTGTTTGTGGTTTTGCCAGAGGATATACTCAACTTGGAGAGCATCTACAAGTCGCTCTATGAGACACGTCCCTTGCCGCCAAATCAAAGCACACAAAACGTAAGCAGGCGAAATTTAATTGAATTACCAATTGACTTCATTGCATTTTTCAGGCGCCATTGAGCGCAACGAATTACCTGTTCGAGGTGGATACTATATTGCAGGACATTATTCAGGAGATACTGGGTGCTGCCAAAGTTGGCGCATTTGGCCAACTGCGCATCCAGGGCAGCTCAACCAAGGTTAAGGTATCAACGACTATGAATGCAATGCGGTTGAATCGATTGCGCCAGCAGTTTATATCAAGTAGATGCAGGGGCAGCCAAACGACACCGGCACCATTGGACCAGGTGCCGCAACTTTTTGTGCAGTTCATCAATGCCAATATAACTGGTTGTTGATTAAAAAATAAATTATTTTAAGTCTTTTTTAAATTTGGCGCACTTTACTTTTATGTTAAATAATGGCCACCCTATGCGCTGACAGCGCCATTACGAGTACATTTAACTTTTAACGGACAATGCAGCTATCAGCCAAATCAATTAAAGTTAAGTAAACGAGTAAAGTGGCTGTCATAAATTTCTTTGACACTTCTCTGATTAGTCAAATTGTATCAACATGTATTTATATTAATACTTCTATTTATTTGACTTGTTGATCGCTTAGAAATTAGTAGTCGATTTTCGATCACAGGTCCAATTTGAGTTTAAAAGAACGTAACAGTTCACATTGAGTATAACAGGGAGTAAATCGATATTCACGCTTAGGATCGCTGCCGTTATCGATATTGCTGATGCTGCCCTCGTTGGTCTATCACCTCTACAGTGGGATAACAGCTCATATTTGTAACATTCATTATTGAGAGCGGACGTGTTTTTTTGTTTGCTGCACAGAAACAGAAGGTGCAAAGCGTGCCAGGATATTTACAACTCTCGTATTTTAAGTTAATATCTGTGCACTCGTCAACGGGATCAGCAGCATAGTAAGCTTCAAGTGTGCGATTGTGTTGTGATCAGTAAATCAAATTGTATATGATTTATTTTGATTTTGTTTTTTTTTTTTTTTTTGTCAAAAAAATAATTTAAAAAAAGATAAAAAAAAAAGTAAAAACAAACCAAGTAAAAACACAGCATCAGTGCAATTTTGGTTGCGAATTGCTTTATTTTAAAAATATATATTTCCTCACTTTGTTTTTGTTATTGTTGGTTTTGCATGCAATCAAATACTGAATTGGATTTGGAGTGCGTGTGTGTGTGTGTGTGTGTGTGTGAGTGTGTGAGGAGTGCGCGTGTTTTTGTAACTTTGGTACAAGCGCGCGAATTTTAAAGCGTTCAATGTCTGTGTCCGTCTCTATTTGAACCTCGGCGACAAACGCAAAATTTGGTTTCAAATAAGCGCGCACAAAACAAGCACACGAGGAACGATTCGAATCGGGTAAGGCTATACTAAAATCCCGCAGCTCTATACGATGTGTAAGTGTATGTGTATGTGTATGACGAAGAGGACATGCATAAAATTGAAATGAAATCAACGGCATAACAAAGTCTGCCTGCGTTTGTTCTGCGTGCGCAGCTACAAAATTACACAAAAACACACTCACACACTTACACGCGCACACAATCAAAGACAGCAACAGACATGTGATTTGAGCTGAAATACGACCACCACTAGACACTGTCATACAAGCGCAACATTTATATGTATATATATATATTTGTATATGTATATATATGAGTGTAAAGAATACGATCGGGCAGCGACGACGACAACAAGCTTATCTCTTGCTGTTGCTGCGGCGGCGAGAACGAAAACGAAGACGATAAAAGCAAAGCAAACAACAACAACAGCAGCAGAAGCAGCAATCGGCTGTTTTGGAACTAAAAGAAACACACATATCAATATATA